ACTAAAATAAAAATTATGATATTCCTTCTAGAATCTTGATTCTATCTTTGAATTTGAAATATCATTAATATATTAGAGCATTATTTGAATCTATTTAAGTTCTTTTCAATTAACTCTAATCTAGTAATTAAATTATTTGTCTATTAGATTTCTACTCTTTCCTTCTCAGGTATTCTTAATATATTTGGTACTAAGTATGAATATTTTCTTAATTAGTCATAATTACTAATTATATCAGAATTAGATAAACTCAAAAATCCTACTTATGCTAAGTATGAATAAATAGTTTAATATGTCTAATCTTATTATTAATTTAATAGAGCTTGATTAAAGAATCCTTTTATATTATTAATCAAATTATTGAGTCTTTTTTAGATTTCAAAACTATTTAAATCTATATTTTGATCTTCTAAAGTAATTGCTGTTGCAAATTATGATTCAAATATGTATTCTCCATTTTCTGAATTCAAATGAATTTCAGAGAAATATTATTCTACAATTTTTATTTTATCTTAATATTCAACTTTAATTCTTGTTTTACTCTTACTTATATGAGTCAATATATTTTTCACTATATAAGCATTTTCATTTTTATCAATAAGAATAAAAATAGGATTTTACTGTAATACTTATTAAAACTATTATATAGATAGTGATTTAAATCTTTTAGTATCAATTTCTACTTCTTCTTCAATTAAATACTTTAGAGATTATTAAGTTCTGAAGATTATTTTTTACTCATATGTCTCACTACTTTATGGTTTTATATATATTTTATAATAGTTTTAAACATCATCCTCCTATTATAAATTTGAATAATTCTCAAAACTTAATCGTAATTAAATTAACTTTGTTAAAAATTTATTATTTTCACTTAGCTAAATTTCATCTACCTACTCCACTCTAAATTTTTCATTAATCATACCTACAAATTGGACATTTCTTAGAATTATTTTAGTCTTGAGTCATACATGACTTACAAAAACTATGTCCACATTTCATTGATACAGGATCATTCATAGCATTATAACAAATTACACAATCTAATTATTGTAATACATTATTTAAAGTTGTATCTATTATTTCTGGTGTCAAATCTGGTTTTAATTTATAATCAAAAGATGTTATTGCTTATATGTATTGACCTATTCCTTAATAAGATTTTTTGTAAGAAATAATCCTGTTATATTTTTAAAACTATATTAAATTTTACAATATTTCAGGATTATTTTAAGAGCATTTCATTAATTATTTTAATATGGAATCTAAACATATTAATATTTAATATTTAGTTGTCTCTTTTTATTGATTTTATAACATTACAAATATCAATTCTAATATTTTATATAACTAAATATTATGTCATAAACTTACTTATTTCTATTCTTTTATTTTTTTTGCATTCTTCATTGTTTCCTCTACATAATTAGATTCTTCATTATTTGTAGAATAATGAATTATTTATAAAATATCAATTAGATACTTCTAATTATTTATAATATTTCTCTTATTCAGTAATAATAATGGTTTCAAAAGGTTAGCTTGATTCTCTAAAGCTTTAGTACAAGCTTTTGTAAATTATTTATTTGTTATTCCAATTAATTATTTTTTCTCTTTCAATTCAATTACAGTTTGTATTTTTGGATCTAATTCTTTTATTAATTCTTTTATTCTTTAGTTTAAAAGATGTTGATATTTAAAGAAAGCCCAAATTTTCTTAGATGCCCAAACCTTTTTTATAATTTCAAATTAATAATTCATTTTTATTTATAATATTGAGATTACATATATAATCCTATAAATCAATTAATCAATTAGTTTAAAAATAATATATGAATCATTATAAAGTCTTCCTAATAAATTAGTGTTAACTAAATAAGTATTATAATAAATAAATAAAAATAGATAAATTTATGAATATAATTATATTTCATTTGTATTTGAACTATTTTAATTATGAATCAAAGTTTGTTGAAAAGCAATTAAACTCCTATTCTAATTATTATAAGAGACTATTTGTAACATGGAATTAATTAACGATTATTCCTTTTAGAGGTTTTGATGGAATTTTTAACTTTGTACAAATGTATTCTTAAACTTAATATTCTGTTTTTAGACTAAATAATTCATTTTTTATAATTTCACTCAAAAAATGAAGAATTTAATCGAATTCTAATTGTAATAATTCTTTTTAGTAAAAATATAATAAAAATAAAACACATTTATAAAATCCTAAAATTTATTATTTTAATATTTACCTTTCCATTATTGAATAATGAATATATCCCATATAATATTCAATAATGCTGACTATAAGGTAAATTAATATACTTAAGTGAATACAGTGATAAACCAAGCAGTTAAATAGTAAGATGCATCAACTTTTTACTTTCATAATTAATTACATTTACTTTTTTAAAGTGTTGATATAAATTAGGTAAAAATAAGAACAGCAATCTTTCATATTGATAAAATACTTTTTTCTAATTCATAAATATAATATTAATACCAGCATTTCAAATTCATTTTCAAAATATTAAGAAAAATAATTTCTCATAATATAATCAAACACTATGTAGGTTACTTCCTCATCTTCAAATGTCAAATACAAATATCCAACAATATAATTCATTCCTTAACAATATCCAACTTCTTTATTATGAAATGCATATGTTCTGAGGAATGATTGTAGTTTACTTGAAGGAACCCTATCAAAATGTAATTGTAAAGATCTTTAAACATCCATAGTAATAATTTCTTCATATTATTATATTTCCTATTAAGCTTCAGATTTTTTTATAGCATAATCCATATGATTTTGATCAATTCTAAGGTAAACCTTCAAATTTTATGCTCTATAATATTGAGTTTGTTCCATATATGGTAGACTATTATGAATAATGTAATATTTCTCTATAGCAAATCTTAAATGAAATTTAAAGGCTTTTGATACTAGTAATAATTAATAGGGTTTATCTTAATATGACAAATATTTAATAGATAATCTGATTGAATAAATCAATCTTAATTAAGGATTATTTAATCCATTTCTTTTATGTTTATCTTCCTTACGTTATTTAATACCCAAACCTGAAGAATATTTTTAATTAAATGTAATAGCATTTTTTTCTTCTAATATTTATAATAGTTTTTCTAATTACACCTTTTCTAATTTAATATCAGAATGAAATGCAAGTTCTAATATTACATCTGTTCCTAATTAAGGAGATACATTTAATTCACTAAGGAATGTAGCAATCTCATGTAATACACTGTATTTTTATTATTAGTATTTTTCTTTTTCTGAATATTATTAACCTTAAACAACCCCAGTAATTTTCTTTAATCCCTTACTAATCAAACCATATCCTTTTTTAACTATATTAAATTATTGATCTATAATATGTTTCTATTAAAATTTAGTTGATTTAATATGTTCATATAAGGATTTCCATTTCTATTTATTTTACCATATATCTAATTTAGTAAAGCTTGATATAAGATGAAAATTCTCTCCTTTTACAATTTTATATGATAATTATAAAAAGATATAGAATTCTTCTACATCAAATTCTGCATCTAAAATTAAGAATACATGTTTAAATATAGCACTAACTTCATTAAAAGAATCTTCTGATAAATTTAATTATTTGACTTTTCTCTTTTCAATTTCCTTTTATAATAAATTGTTTAAGAATTATCTAGCTGATTATTTTGACATTAATTATTTAACTCCTAGATATTCATGTGACAAAAATTAATTTGATTTTGTTGAAGATGTAGAATAAGATCTATTTCTAGAATTATTGGTACTGTCATCTGAATTCTCTTGATTTTCCATAAGTTCATTAATAAATTACAGAATTTTTGTAGCTTATTCTTCAGTTAGTTATTCTCCTATTAAAGTCCATTCACTTCCAACATATTACATATTTTTCTTCTATTCTCCTCTCTTAATTTAATCATAATTAATTTAATCAAATAATGAGAATTAAACTGTTTCAGCTTCAATAAGTATAAGATTTACTTCCACTTTTTTTTAACAATCTTTAAATTTAATGTTATAAATCAGAAGGTTATTTTTGAATCACTCTCAACTCTAATTAATTAAGTTTATCTTAATATATAGAATAGACAGTCTCATTTGTTAACTTTTTCATTAATGATAACATAATTTATTTAGAAAACTTGATTCTAATTTAAATGATACATTTTTACCTGTTTTCATCATTTAAAAATACTTATTAATACCAATCTTTAATTTTTACATCAAAATCTGAAAGTTTCTTATTTCCTTTCTCTATAATTTTTTTATAATCTTCCTAAGCCTCTATAGCAATTTCTTTTAATTTAATTTATCTTTCTGATGCTCTAACTAACTCATCTTTGCCTTTGTTTCCCTTTGCAATTTCTCCAACTGTTCTTTCCATAATCAATTAACTTTTATCTGCATTTTGCATTAAACGTATATATTCCTCTTGCTACTCAGATATTTATTTATTTAATGATTAGATATTTCCAATATATTCTTTCATTTCTTAAGATAATTTTAAGTTTATATTTCTATAATTGCTCATGATTAGTTGATATGGTTCAAGAACCTAAGGCATGAATAATAAAATAATTAAACTTCACTTCTTAGATTTTCACTTGTTTATTGCCACTATTAAGAATTTTAAAGTAAAAAGTTGCTCAAATACTAGTAAACACATTCGATATTGTCATCATCACCTGTACCTTTGCTCACAAATTCATGAAGACGTTCTGCTATTTTTTTTAAAGATGTTGAAAATGTAGTGCAAGCTCTTTCTATTTCCTTGAACTGGAAATAATCTATGAAAATTTACTGTTTTCTCTAATTCAAGAGTGTTGTTATTTGTATTTAAAAGGTAAGAATGCAATTGCAAAAATTCTTAAGATGTATATTCAATAAACTGATTAGCCATGTATTATTAATAATATATAGAAATCAGTATTATTTCTTAACATTTAATTAATATATGTATAATTTATGTGGGTCCTTACTTGATAGATGGTATAATGTCAAATTTAATTTGACTTAATATGTTTATGACATAGATAAGTAGTTAAGATAAAAGGATAAAGTCATTTATATTTTAAATGAAACTATAAAAAACGATGTTGGTATAGAAGTAAGAAAACTTTCATTTATTTTAAGCAAAGAATAGAAAAATTGAAAAAGACTTGTTCATAAATCCTTTGGTTTTCTTATAGGAAAAAAATTCCATAATTTTAAAGTTTTATTTACTTTCCTATTTTTAAGTCAGTTCCTTCACTTCAGATACAGGCTGGGGATGCATGATTAGAGTTGCTCAAATGGCATTAGCTTAAGTTATAAGGCATTATCATTCTTTCACTTAGCCTGAATAATTGATAGTTTTAATTAGACATTTTATAGATGATGATGATGATGAAATGATTGATTTTATTAAGTAAACTAAATAGAACTAAGTCGAATATTATCATGCTCCATTTTCTATTTAAAAAATTGTTTATCATGCAAAAATTGAATTTAAAAAAGAACCTGGAGATTGGTATAAACCTAATGAAATACTTGAAATTTTAAATTACTTATTTAAATACTCTTAATGTAAATAGAATTTTCATAATAAGACTCCGTAAACATGTAAATCTATATAAATTATGAATGTGCTTTTATTCTCTAGGATGTAATACAACAAATGTTTAATTATGATAAAGGTAATTTAGAATGGTTAAAAGAATGTGTTAAAAATAATATTCAATAAAATTAATAAGATGATAAAGGTATTGGTATCTTTCTTCCTGCTCGAATTGGCCTCTAAAATGTTAATAAAGATTATTTGAAAGTCTTGAATCATTTAATGACTTTACCTTATTTTTAAGGTATTATTGGAGGAGTTTCGAATAAAGCCTTCTATATTGTAGGAAGAATTCAAGATTATCTTATTTACTTGGATCCTCATTTTGTGTAAAATGCTTAGAATTTTGAAGATCTTTCAAAAAATCAAGCTTCTTACTCTTGTTAAAATATTTAATTAATACACAATTAAATTATTGATCCATCTATAGTTGTATGTCTATGTATTCGTAATGGACTTGAATTATTGGATTTATGGAATTCAGTATTTATAATAATTATTTACTAATAGCTTAATCATTTGAAATAAGAATTCTAAGAACTTTTTTTTATTTCACTTTTGGAAACTAATACTGAATTACAAATATGTGAATCCTTTCAATATTTAGATGAAAATCATGAATTAGTAAACATTCTAAAATGAATATAATATACTTTTATTTAAATAAATATCTATTTTATCAATGTCAAGATAACAAAACAAATAAACATAACCTCCTCCTTAACCAGCTAAAGTTAACTAATAATAAAAAACTTCATAATCTACTCAACCTCCTAAATAAAAAGTATTCAATGCTGAAGATTATGCTAAACCTCCCCATTTGACAAAAGAAGAAGTCTTAGAAGTTAAAGTATGATTATATTGTAATTTTAAGTAAGCCTTTGATATTTTTGATAATGATGGATCTGGAGCAATTGATCCATAAGAATTAAGAGAAGCTTTTGAAGCATCTGGAATTAAAACATATCACAATAAATTTATTTATTAAGTCTTAGGAGAGTTAGATACTGACAATTCTGGAGGAATAGATTTTGAAGAATTTTTACATCTAGCAACAGCAAAAGTAAGTGATAAAGATACACGAGACTAAATTCAAAAGGTATTTAATTTATATGACTGGAATAAAGAAGGTAAACTAAATATATCTATTATTTAAGGTCGAATAACTTGGGATGAACTCAAAAGAGTAGCTTAAGATTTAGGAGAAGAAATGACAGATGAAGAAATTTAACATATGTTTAAGAAAGTATATATATTATTAATATATTTAATATAGGCTGATTTGGATGATGATGGATTTGTTACATTTTAAGATTTTTATAATCTAATGACCTAAAAAGAATATGGAAAATAATGAGATTTTACATTATTAAATAAAATAATTAATCATTCTTGTATTCTTCAAGAAATTATTATTATTAATCTTTTAATTCAGTACAATTTAATAAAATTGATTTTATAATTATCTCTATATATTGAATTCCATTTCTTACTGTTTTTAAGCAGATATTTTAAAATTCAATATATTATATTATAATTATCTTATCCTACTTAAGCGAAATTGAAATTAGGTAGAATTTTAAGATGATTTGGATAAAATATATTTTTATTTCATATCAATCTTAAAATTAATGTTTTTAATTTTTCATTACAATGAAGGTTGCTTTAAAAAATTAGAAGATTATATTTTAACTAAAATTTAATCTTGTATTTGGATTCTCAATAAATATCTTCATTATTTTATTAATAGCATAAGATGCAATCCAAAGACTAATATGTCATATCCTTTTAGAAAATCATCTCTGTATTCAAATTTGAATGTGTAGTATAATTACTATGATAATATTCAATTAAAAAGATGTTCCTTTAATAAAAATAATATTGGTATATGAAAAGGAAGGGATAATTTAAATTAGGATTCACATTGATATTTTTTCTTATTATATTTATATACTAATAGACTCCTTATAAATATTCAATAAATAAATAAATAAACAAACTATTATGATTCTAAGATCTTAAATCAATAGATTACTTACTTAATATTATTTTATAACATTTTGATGATTGATTTTTCTCAAAATATTTATTACTCCTGACCATATTATTAAATCTTACTTTATTTCTATTTGGTTCTTCTTTAGAACTTGTAAGTAAACCTAATATATATAAAATAAATTCTTACCTTTTTATTTTTGTTTTATAGATTAATTTTCACTTTCCAAAAACTCCTTTGTTAAAGTAAGGTTTTGTTAAATATCTTATGAATTACTTAAGATGTAATTTTGAATTTACTTAAAGGATTCTGTTCCATTAAAATTAAATAATAATGGATTAACTGCATATAATGAAAACTTCTTAAGTATAGTTGTATATTTATATCATCCTTAATAAATATTAAATAATTGATTTAATATTTTAGGAAGGCTTGTAAATTACCCAACTTTAGAAAATCAGAACTCAAAAGAATTGCTAAAATTTGAATAAAAAGATGTTCAATTAAATATTTTTATATTTATCACATTCTTGTATCACTTACGTGCCTTACGTCTTTTTCTCTTGAGTCTTCGCATTCTCTTCTTTCTCCATTTTTCTCTCATTATTTATTTTAATTAATGAATAAAGATTTTAATTTTTTAATTTATATGTTTCAAATTTTGGTTTGAATGGTTGATGTACAAATTAAGAAATAATGTAAAGGTTACTTAATTTATACATAATAGATACTTTAAGATTAATATTATTAATGATATAAAATATATTGTTAATACTAACTTTTTTAATTTATAAATTAATTTTAAATAGTTTAGAAATTAGAATATCTATAATCCTTATATTTTAATCTTTATTTTTTATTGATTCTCTTTAATATTCCTTAATTAATAATAACATAATAATCAAATAAAGAAGGATTATATGAATTTATAATTAATTTTATTCATAATTTATTATTAAATATGTCAAACATATATGTTAATACAAGTAACATTAATAATGTTTCGTCAACATAAAAGAAAAGAATATTTGATAACACTTTACCAAATTATACTCAAAATCACTTGCAATTACCAACTTAAAAATAACCTTAATTAAGTGTTAATTCATTGAATATTGATCCTGAATTATCATATATTGCACCAATAGAAATTGAGTAATAAAAACCTGCTTCAAAGATTGATGGTTAAATAAAAAGTGAAATTAGAAATGAGTAAATATCTTAAGAAGACCCAGCAAAATAAAGTTTATTGAAAGAGGTTTAATTAGAGAATTTAGAAAATATTTTCACATTATTTAGATCTACAGTACCAATGAATTAATCAAACCTTTAAACTTCAAGATTGATATCATCAAATGTTGAACCTTAATATTACTAATAATTAGAAATTGATGCAGAAAACATAAGAGATCGTATTAAAATGGAAGGTCGAACTGTTCATACTATTATTGAAAAACATAGTAGAATTAAACAATAAAAATTAAATATTACTTAATAACTTAAAAATATTCAGACTACATTAAACTAATATGATTAATGTACATCTTATTCAAAATTTTAAAGAGAAATCAAATATGCATTTAATCAATTTGAATCTAAAGCTGATGAATTAAGAGATTTATTTAATGAAGCTTATAACTTTATGTCAGTAATTTCAGTGGCTGCTTATGAGAGATTACATAAAGCTTTTGATGAATCAGAAATAATAAGTGAGGCTGAATTCACATCAGTATCACTTAAACATTTCTCAGATATAGAATTAATTGCTAAAGAGTATGAATTAACACTTTCAGAAAAAAGAAGGTAAAAAAATATTATAAATATAATTTAGATTTGGAAATATAAATCAAAATCATCAATAATATAAATCTATTTGCTCTAAATTGTTATAATTAATTAAATCATTCCCTTTGTAAGAATAAGAGCTTTAATAAAAAATGATTAATTTATAAAGAGTGTCCTCTATATATTTTAAAGGAGTTTCAAAAGATATATAAATATCTTTATAAAATTACTAACTAATTATCTAAGATTATAGGTTATCTCTAGCTGCAATTGATAAAATTGTAATTCATAAAGAATTGTTATAAGAATATTATGATAGCTTTGATTATTATTAATATCTTATATTTTATTTAAATTAATAACCTTAAAATTACAAAGATAACTATTACTAATTTAAATATTAAAAAGATGAACTTAAATTTGTACATTTTAATTAAACCAAATACTTTTTTGCTATGAAGAATAAGATTTATTAAAAATCATGTTTATTTATTGATACTATTAAAAATTAAGTTAATTCATAGAAAACAGCAGTGAATTTCATACTTCCTATGATAGATGAATTTAAAAAATATTAAAATAATAATTTTTAGGACTTTTTTGATTAAATTTTCTATAATTTATAATAAACAATAACTAAAGAATAATGGTAACATCTTATTAACTTATATTAAGAAGTATAATAAGCTAAATGTATATTGAAAATAATATTGGTAAAAATAAACAATATTTAATAATAACATCCTACTTTAAGTGAATTTAAAGAGAAATTTGTAAAAAAGATTGAAGCAGAACTTAAATTTATTAATTCTTTGAGTCCCAAAGTAGAACCATATATTAATATTCATGATATTGATGCACATGTTTAATATTTGACATTTAAAGATAGCTATTAAAAATAAAGATAAACTATGGATTTAAAAATATAAGAAATTGTTGTTAATTTACCATAATAATTACAATTAAGTGATATTGAAAATTAAAACCTTAAAAAGATAAATATTGAAAAATTCTTTAGTTAATCACATTAATTAGAATAAATTGCTATAAAATTATAAAGAAAAAAGGTTTCTTAAGATGTTGAACATATTAAATAGTAATTGCAATCAGATATTACATTTGAGAAAGATGTTATATGTTTATTAGAATCTATGCAATATTTACATTCTGGAAATCTATAAATGATTATTGAAGATTTTAATGAAATTGATCAGAAAAATAACAATAGTTCATTATAATAATTAATTGAAGTAGTTTTAGAGAGTCAAAAAAGGATTGAATTAATTTAAAGTGATAAGTTACAAGAAATTAAATAAGTTTAATTATAAGGATTTAAATGGATATTAAATTTATTTAAATAATATGACTAATTTAGAAAAGTATTTATTCTTAAATATAAAGAATTTAATTAAACTAATATTCCCAATCTAAGATGAGTAATAAATTGAATATTCAAGAACAATCTACATCTCAAATTATGAAGACTTTTTAACCATAAATAGATTTAGTCATTTATTCTATTATTTAAATTAATATCCACGAAAGTATTAACATTGGTCATAGATTAAAAATGAACTAATTAAAGTCATATTAAGTTCATTTAAAATTTCATTAAAAAAAGTGATGGAAAAAATAGATATTCTTGGAGGTGAGAAACCAGTAAGTTTACTTTAATTTGACTAAGATAATACAGAGAAAATTTTAAAATGGTTTTCTTTAGAATAACATCATTCAAATATAGCTAAAGCTGTATTAATATATTAAGGTTACAAAAAAACAAAAATATCTAACTCTCAATTTTCAACTTCGAATTTATAATAAGATTAAAAGAATAGATAATTAATTGAAATTTAAACTAAAATGTTAGATCTAATTAATAAACTCAAAGATTAACTAGAAATGCTTCCTTGTGAAATAAAGTATGCTTATCATAATTCTGTGGATATATTTACAGAGGAAGAATTTGATAAGATTATTTTTACTGAATTATAAGAAGAATGGGTCTTAGATTATATGGAAAAAGGATAAGACCTCTCTTTTTTGGCAGATTTATAAAATTATACAGGTATCTTTGATACTCAATTATTAAATTAAAGTTTAATATTCATCAATTTAAATCAAATCTTACAGTAAATATTATTTATATAATATTTAGAACATAAAATGAAATTGATGTTAAATAAATAAGAAATAATCTTTTATAAGTAATTAAACATTAGACATGAAAAAATTACAAAAACTGAAATTTTAATATATTCAACAAAAACATCATTTTTTATACATCTCAAATGCTATCTCTTCAATTAGATGATCAAATAATAAATCTGATAAATCAATAGATATTTCAGTAGTTTCTTCATCATAATTTGTCCATCTATCTTCATTATCTATTATCTAAAATTCTTTAATTTAATTATACATCTAATGTTAACATTCTATAGAGTCTGTCTTCTCTTATCTATGCTATAGTTTCTTAATCTAATTAAAAAGATTTTGGAAATGGTGAATCTTCTTTATCAATCAAGATCCCTGTCATATAATGACTCCAATCAATTACTTTTTCTGAAGCTTTACGAATGATCCCAGGAATATCAGTCAATTAAACTTCCCTTGCTCTTAATTTTGTTGGATCAGATTTCCATAAAAATGGTTATCCATTTAAACCATATGGTCTAAAATAATCAAGTGCTTCATTTAAAGAATCAAAAATTGCTTTATTATGTATATGCTCTAATTCAATTAAAAGTTTATTTTAATGGTTAATTATTCTTTATTCCATTAAAAATCTTTCAAATTTGCCAAATAACTCTACACTAAGAATAATTTAATGCTATGCTCCATTTGAATCAAAATCTGACTCAGCTGAATCTCTAATTGGTTAAAGAAACTTAAGCATTATTTTAGATGATGGACCCAAAGGAATATTAATTATTCTCTAAATTTAAATCATTACATTATCTTAATGATATTAAATAATTTGATTACCTATTAAGTATTCCTCTAAATATTTGAGATATGTTTTAATTTATGTTACATTAGTCTTAAGTCCTTAAATCTTTTATTCTTTTGGTTAAACTATCTATGTCCTACGATTTAATTAAGAATTGTTTATTAATTCATATAAATCAATACCATATCTTTACATTTCTGTATAAAATTAATTTACTTCCTCTTATATTAACATATTTGAAATCAAAATAGAGTATGAATCAGCACATTTCTCTGATATTTTTTATGGTTCTTTCAACTATTCAACATTTCTAACAAATTAAGATTAAGCCAACTTTTTTAGATTAAAGGGTTCAGGACAAATTAATTCTTTTTCTTCTAATATATTATTACTTTTTCTTTAAATTGTAACTACATCCTCATAAGCTTTATTTTTATCTTCTTACTAATATTATTATAACATTTAAGAATTAGATATTTAAATATCTATAATTGAACTCTTTAGGGAATTTTCAGAATAATTTGCAGATTCTTAACTTAAAGAATCAACTATTTTTATGTATGTTTATGAATTTTATGATGAT